TTCAGTCCCTATATGCCCAAAATGATTTTCACAATGCTAAGAACAATGTAGTAACAAAATGCGTACCTTAATAATTTATAGAGTATAAACGCAGCAATGTAATTTTCTTAAACAAAACAGAAAATGATTAATTTCCAAATATCAGAAAACAATTTAAGCGCTACAGCAATTATAATAGAACCTATAAGGTGCTACAACACTTTCAAACCAGAATCAGTGTAACTGTCAGTCTCTAAACAAAATATTCAGAAATAAAATCAGAGAGACAAGGGACACACGATATATCCTGGTTCACACCCACTAAGCATAAGTATGGTGCTACGTCCAGACTGAAGTAGCTGTAGATATTTTATTTATCACAAGTGTACCTGTTTTACAAACACGCATCACACACACAATCAAACAAAATATCAAAAACCTTCCTAGTGCCTACAATGCTCCAAGCTCTGAGAATACTCTCAAGCCGAACCTACGGAGTTCACTAACTCCTCTCACACAAGACCTCCACTCTCCCTAGTGGATTCTTGAGGCTCCAAGCCTTGAGACACACTCTCAAGCCAAGCACAAGGTTGCCAACCCACACGGTTGCACCCTCACACCTAGGACAGATTTACAACACACAACTACTCCACTTTAACAACCAATACAGAATTTTTCAGAACTGTAACAAGTGAAATAATCCAAAAATACAGTGTTCTATCACACCAAATATATCTCGGTAATATCAAACTAAGCTCCACAAATTTATGCCATATGCAGAAAATTAAATCAATGACATATGTATCAAAATCTCTAAAATTAATACACCAAGGAGCTTGGATATTACACAATTTAATTTTCTAATCAATGGACACCAAGAAATCTGATTTAAACAGAAAATATCACCATTATAACCAGAAAAATCAGTTTTGAAATTTATCTCAAAATTTCACATAAAATTCAGAATTAGTTCTAGATAAATCTTTTAATAATAAATCACAAGAAATCTGAATTTTAAACACAATATATCTCAATTAAAACAGAAAATTACGATTTAATATTCCAACAATAAAGTTTCTAGAACAATTCAAGATTAGGCTTCTAAACAATGAATCTCACACAAAAATCTGAATTAATACAATGTATAACAAGGTGTAAAAATAAATTCAGATTTAATATTTTTAATCAATATTTCACAAAAATTAGAAACACAAATCTTACACAAAGACCATCAAGATTTCTAAAATATTCACTTAAAATCAAAACAGAAAAATTAGAATGCTCACAATATATCAAAAAGAAAACTGAAAATTAATTCAACAATATCAAGTCTCAAGAATATATACCAAAGTATGCTCAAAACAAGGTTTAAGATATTTCCTCAACAATTCTCAAATTTTTAGCAAAGTAAAACAGAAAATGAGGTTAGGGTTCTTCAACCTTAGTTCCGAGAAACTTGAATTAAATGCTTCCAAATGGTTGAGAACTTTCGAAAAACACAGACGTTGATGATAGAGAGAAAATGAGAATCTTCTTCTTAAACTATTTTTTTAGAGCGCAAACGAACCAGAACGAAGAGGATTTCCAAGAAAGGTGAACTGCATTTGTTTTTTTTTTTCGATTTCTTGTATATAGCTATTTTCTCGGTTTTGCCACTTATATACTATTATAAAACAAAAGCTAACTATTCCTACTAAGACTACATCTATACGCTACATGATTCAGAATTGTTAAAACAACTATTTTATATTATTATTTCTTGTTGTTTTTATTTGTATAGTAAAGCTATGTATTTAATTCTTTCTTTTAGATTTTAAACTTAACTATTACAAACAAAACTAATCATTATTATTTAATATGAAATTGAATGCATAAAATGCAATGATATGTATTGGAGCTTAGGTAGATATTATATGATATAATATTGTGTGTAACAAAATATCTAAAAATACCTAACCACTTGTATCTTCAAGCTCTATCTTCAATTTGAGATTTCTTGTAAACCTTTTGTCATCATCAAAATATGTATTCCATTATGCTTAAGAGGTTTTCAGACCGTACTGTACAAGGACGATTTATTTTATTTAAAAATTCTGATTTTTAAACAAAACTTAGAAAAAAACATATATTCACTAACAAACTTACTACCACAAGTAGAGGCAGAAGAAGAGTGGCAACTAAGTCAACATAAAACCCAGCTTCTCCCAGGAGGTACAAGGCAACAGATAACAACGAGAAAGCTATACCCGAGATGCAAAATATGATCTTGAATGCCGTAAGTGACAACCCAACCAACCTTATGTATGATAACTTGATCTATTCCCCTAGCATTTCATGCTAGGATGTTCAGTCTATACACAACTAAGTGTATGAGAAACAAAAAAAGAACACTCAAAATATGATTAAAATAGACAATGTTTGGTGAAGAAATTGGGAGTGAAATGGAGATGAGAGAAATGGAATGACAGTGGTTTTACTATATGAAAATATGTTCTGTTGAACGAAGACGAAATTAATGATGACTATACTATATAAGGATGTTTTAGTTTAATTTAAAACCCAAATTTTTAAACAAAATCCAGAAAAAAAAAACATATATTCACTAACAAACTTACCACCACAAGTAGAGGCAGAAGAACAGTGGCAACTAAGTCAACATAAAACCCAGCTTCTCCCAGGAGGTAGGAGGCAACAGATAACAACGAGAAAGCTATACCCGAAATGCAAAATATGATCTTGAATGCCGTAAGCGACAACCTAACCAACCTCACGTATGATAACTTGATCTATCGCCCTAGCATTCCATGCTAGGATGTTCAGTCCATACACAACTAAGTGTATGAGAAACAACAAAAGAACACTCAAAATGTGATTAAAATATACCGTGTTTGGTGAAGAAATGGGGAGTGAAATGGAGATGAGAGGAATGGAATGGCAGTGGTTTTACTATCTGAAAGTATGTTCTAATGAGCGAAGACGAAAAGAATGATGACAGTACTGTACAAGGACGATTTATTTTAATTAAAAACTCAGATTTTTAAACAAAACTTAGAAAAAAAAAACATATATTCACTAACAAACTTACCACCACAAGTAGAGGCAGAAGAACACTGGCAACTAAGGCAACATAAAACCCATCTTCTCCCATGTGGTACGAGGCAACAGATAACAACAAGAATTCTATACCCGAGATGCAAAATATGATCTTGAATGCCGTAGGTGACAACCCAGCCAACCTCACGTATGATAACTTGATCCATTCCCCTAGCATTTCATGCTAGGATGTTCAGTCCGTACACAACTAAGTGTATGAGAAACAAAAAAAGAACACTCAAAATGTGATTAAAATAGACCATGTTCGGTGAAGAAAATGGGAGTGAGTTGGAGACGAGAGAAATGGAATGGCAGTGGTTTTACTATCTGAAAATATGTTTTGTTGAACGAAGACGAAATGAATGATGACGTACTGTACAAGGACGTTTTATTTTAATTTAAAACCCAATTTTTAAACAAAATCCAGAAGAAAAAGACATATATTCACCAAAAAACTTACCACCACAAGTACAGGCAGAAGAACAGTGGCAACTAAGCCAACATAAAACCCAGCTTCTCCCAGGAGGTAGGAGGCAACAGATAACAACGAGAATGCTATACCCGAGATGCAAAATATGATCTTGAATGTCGTAAGTGACAACCCAACCAACCTCACGTATGATAACTTGATCTATTCCTCTAGCATTTCATGCTAGGATGTTTGGTCCATACACAACTAAGAGTATGAGAAACAAAAAAAGAACACTCAAAATGTGATTAAAATAGACCATGTTTGGTGAAGAAATGAGGATTGAAATGAAGATGAGAGAAATGGAATGACAGTGGTTTTACTATATGAAAATATGTTCTGTTGAACGAAGAGGAAAAGAATGATGACCGTATTGTACAAGGACGATTTATTTTCTTTAAAACCTAGATTTTTAAACAAAACACAAAAAAAAAAACTTATTTTCACTAACAAACTTACCACCACAAGTAGAGGCAGAAGAACAGTTGCAACTAAGTCAACATAAAACCCAACTTCTCCAGGAGGTAGAAGGTAACATATAACAACGAGAAAGCTACACCTGAGATGCAAAATATGATCTTGAATGCCGTAAGTGACAACCCAACCAACCTCACGTATGATAACTTGATATATTCCCCTAGCATTCCATGCTAGGACGTTCAGTCGATTCACAACTAAGTGTATGAGAAACAAAAAAAGTACACTCAAAATGTGATTAAAATATATCTTGTTTGGTGAAGAATTTAATCACATTTTGAGTGTTATTTTTTGTTTCTCATACATTTAGTTGTGTATGGCCTGAACATCCTAGCATGGAATGTTAGGGGAATAGATCAAATTATCATACGTGAGGTTGGTTGGATGGAACAAAATAAAAAATATATCTAATTTAAATAAGAAAAAAAAAACTAAATATGACGGCTAATCAACTCCCCACTATTAGTGTCGTCACTTTCCAATTATATTGGAGAATTTTCTTTTCCTAATGAATTCTATCGATTGGTTTCTATAATTTCAATCAATTAATCTAATTAATTGGTTTTCTTAATTTTCTCCATTGCATAAATATAATTTTAATACTATATTTAAATTTAAATTTAAAATTAGAATTAAAATTAATTTTATTAATTTGTGTGTGATTCATATAATTTAAATATATTTAAAAACTTGCTTAGGATAAAAAATTTACACTCTTCAAAAGAATCTAAATCATTGTATGAATTATGCATGACAAATCTTGCACAAAATAACTCTGAATTATAATATAATATAATATAATATAGATATAGATTTGACAAATATTATTTATTAATTAATTTTCAATTCAAATAAACTATCATCGTGTAAAAAAAATTTAACGAATGAGATAAGAGCAAGAGTTATTGATATGGCTCAAATTAATAATATATTTTGAGAAGAAAAAAAGCGTTGGATCGGAGCGGGTCAACAAAATACCCGTGAATAATAGGGATTAACGATAGCTTCATTTCTCTCTTTAAAAACCACACAGACCTAGGCGCTTGTCTTTAGTTTCAGTTTCGGATCTCTCTCTTCTCTTTGCCTTTCAGCAATTTCAGTTGCAGTTGCAGTTCCAGGTGACTTTACAATCTCCTTCCCCTTTTTCGTTTATCTATATATTTTGTCGTAGTCACTGCTCTCCTTTGCTGAATCAATTTGTTTCCCTTTTCCGCTTTTCTACACTCATATTTGGGATTTTGTGGTTTTTTTTTTTTTTTTCTTTCTAATTGTGTTTGAAATTTGTTAAGTGTATTTGATGGAATGGAAAATTGGTATGAATTTGGATCTTGTGATTATCCTTGTTACTTGCCATTATTATTGATATTTTTACCCCTACTTTTGACCTTGGGATATCTAAAAGGTCAAAACTTTCTTACCCTCTTAAGCTGGGGCTAGGTGGATTATAAGCTCCGCTATATCGTAATTGATGTTAATTGAATTCGCTTACTTGTATTTAAGTTCATAATCATATTGGCTAAAATGGGTTTCCCCCTGGGCTGAATTTTTTGGATAAAGGCGATGAATAAGTTTGCACTTCATAATTTCATATTCAAAATTTATGTACGAGGAAACCATTAGTGTGCATCAAACCTTTGATTTTGATATATATATATAGTAAGATAAGCATAGTGTACACTGCTCTGGTTTTCCTGTTGTCTTAGTGGAGGTTCTTGTGGTCTTGTGTTTTTTTAGGATTGTAAATATGGCAGATTCAAAACCAGAATTGAGGAAGCCAGTGTTCACCAAAGTTGATCAACTTCGCCCGGGGACCAGTGGGCACACTTTAACTGTGAAGGTGGTCAATGCAAAGATGGTGATGCAGAAAGGTCGTCCTGATGGTCCTCAACCCCGTCAAATGCGAATTTCTGAATGTTTGGTTGGTGATGAGACTGCAATGATTGTATTCACTGCGAGAAATGATCAAGGTATATATGTTATTGCTTTAGTTTAGCTAAGCCACCCTTATACAAGTTTTCCTTGCTGCATCATGGTATTGTTATTGTCTTCATATTTTTACATTCTTGTTGGTTTTTTTAGCTTTTTAATTGGCTGGGGCAGGGGCACTCTTTTGTTATTTTGCATGGAGTATTCATATGTCATGTGTCAAGTGTTTTGGACATCTGTCATTTCTGTTCTGATGTCTTTAACAAAGGCTCTGTTTTGTCCGTGGTCATGCATCAAGTGTTTTTATTTTGTCAATTTTCTCTGGTAAATATATTTTTTAAATACTAGAAAAAATATATACCTATAAAATAAAGGGAATACTTATGATAGTAGCTTTGACCCAAATTTAACAATATTATCTCACATGACCTTTAAAAAGGGGGCGAATCAGAGCAGTGGTAAAATTGTTCTTTCATGACTGAATGGTCATGGGTTCGAATCCAGGAAACATCCTCTTTGCAATTATGCAAGGGTAAGGCTGCGTATAAAGATTACCTCCACCCCAAACTCGCTAGTCGGATTTAACAGGGAGTGTGCTTTTTTTTTTTTTTTTTATCTCACATGACCTTTAATGTGCTATATCAATGACTAAAAACGTTATTATAATATGTCTTACATAAACACAGATTCATTATTAATCTAGTCTCAAAATGATGCTAGTAGCTTACTAAGTTTCTATCTATTTGGAGATGGACCTGGTTAATTGGTGTTGCTGTTTATTTTCTGGTTTGATCTTTGATGTGTCCATTAGCATTTTCTAGCACTAACATCAACTGTGTAAACTTTTTTGTATCAAAGTTTTTATAGAAATCAATGAAAAACAAAGAAAGAAATGTCTTTTTCTATTTGTGTTTATCTTATCTGAACCAGTCTATGGTCACCTGATTTGAAATGCGTTATTCTCCTGTCCAACAGCATTTGGTAACCTTAACAGATCTCATATGACTTCACACATCTTGGTTTCAAAGAAAAAGCACAACAATCTGTTAAAACTATTTATTTTCCCTTTTGGGTTGTGCATATCCGATCTGAGGCTGTTGCAACCCAATGACAAACAGCCAAAGGAAAAAGCAGTTTCTGAATAGCCTCACTTGTAAGAATCAAGTCACATTGATTCATTAGTTTAAGCTTTGTGATTCAGGGCCTTCTCGGATTCACCTTTTTTTTGGTATACCGACCCTAATTACCTCTTTGAGGCGAGTCGGCTCCCCGGGTATCCATACAAGCTTCAACTCTTTGAGATGGCTATGAGACTAATCCCGAGTCGGGGCTTAGTCATTGTCAAAGCTCCTCGCCCTTTCCCAAATATGTATTTGATGGGAATCGAACCCATGTTCTCTCCTCACTGTACTCAACTTGTGTTGTCAACTGAGCTACACCCATTGGGTTGATGTTTTTGGTTCTGCTAAGAGTGTCTCAATTTAATAAATACTAACTTATTAATATATGGAACATTGGAAATCAAGTAGATGTCATAATTAGAAATAACTTGAGATGATAAATATCATAAAAAGTGTACTGTTGGATAGCTAAATATTCTTTATGCCAAATAATCTAGAATTTAGATTAGTAGGACATTTGCTTCCACTCTGTCCAAGTAAACCAGTCTTATAGTTGGTTGAATCCAACTAAAATTGTTGCAATTTGTAAGTGCTAGCTTTGCTTTAATCCTCCTTGATTTTAGTGTACATTCATGTGTAATGAAAAACTCTTCATTCTTTGCAATCAAGAATTAACGGTTTTTTTTTTACTACTTATCATAGATTGAGGGTGATTAAGTGATTTGACAAAAAGATTAGAAAAATGGTAGAAATTGCATGTGTTTTCTCTTGATCCTTGTTGTCCACCCACCCATCCAATGTTGTCCAATGTTGAAATGTATCTTTGCTTTTGTGTTGTTTTTTTCTTCTTGAACTCATAGGACAGATTTAAGTGACTACAGGATATGTAGAAATTGTGCAAACGTAAATGTAATGTATTTTGGAAAAAAAAAATATATGGTAGCAAAGGACAAAGTGTGATTCAAGTGCTTCCCTAGTTTTGCCTGTGTCATGTATTTTTTTTTTTAGTAAACTACTTTTCATGATCTAGAACAGAGCAGTCCATCTGTCCACGGTAGCTATGCATTCTTGTTCCCAATTTATTTTGTTCTGGTTTATACAAATTTCCTGGTTCAAAGTAAAATACGCCAAGGCCTCATTGCCAACTTTTTGGTGAACAATGGCTGTCAAGAATTTTTATAGTACCTAGTTTTGCCTGGTTTCATAATTGACTAGGTTTTGTACTCTTAGTTTTGGTTTTGATTTGAAGAAAAGGGACTTCCATTGATTATAAGGGTATTTCCTCTCTTTTCACTTGTTCAGGCTATGAGATAGTGCTTTCTAGTTTCTACCATGTCATTCTCAACTTTTATGCTTCACTATTGATTGCAATTGAAGCCTACCATGATTAGGAATAATGGTGAATCAATATTTATAATGACTAGAATAATTTTTATCTGAATGATTATTGGCGTTTTAGGCCATGAGATATGGCTTGGTTGTTATTTTTGTTGATCTGAAAGATTATGGAAAGAAGAGTTTATTGAATTTTTTATGGTTATCTCTTTTATGGGATATAAGGGTTTATGTTTACTACATGTATGTGGAATTGGAGGGGAAAGCAATATAAAATGAATTCTTTATGTACTTGGTTCACATATAAATATTGTAGTGCTTTTGTCTGAATTATAGTATGAGTTGGTTTGATCAGTCCAATCATATATATACAAATGATCTGAGTCGTACCACTACTAAGATCTGCTGTAAGGGTTGAATTAGGCTTAAACTGGGATAATCATTAGAGAATGTGAACGTTTACTGGTTTCTGATAACCAGGTGTATCTCCTTTTCGATTTACCTTTGCTCTGAGGTGTTAAGTCCTTCTGAATATGCAATGAAAATTGGTTGAATAGTTTTTTTTTTCTTTATGAGAGAGAAAGAGAGAAGGATATTAGAAAATAACGAACCTTCTTCTATGCTAATTCTAAGCAGTGACACAGATGCAAGATTAACCTGATTGTCTGCATTGAAATTTGAAAATATCTCCATCCCACTTTGGCTTGCCTTCTTTGGCTGAGAAGTGTAGAACCAAACGAAAAAAAGATATTAATAGATGTATAGTTTTAAAGAGTAGCAAGCATGCAGTGAAAGTTAGTACCTATTGATTCTTTCTTTTACATCAAGGCAATGTGTCGGTTCACATACAAGAAGGTCTGACTTAGTATAAAAAAGTGTTGTACCGTTGCAGTAACTAGCAAATAAAGTTCAGTCTTCTCATCTGATATTACAGTGGTCATATAAAATAGAGAACGTGACCAACTTAGAACAATTTAACCAAACAAGTGGATTGGAATGCTCAAAGAGTGGTTAATGGGTTAATCGTAGATAGGAACTGATTTTTTTGCATAAAACCAATGGATACTAGATCATTACAAAAACATAATAATGCAGGAAATAAAAGAAATCTAGAGCCCTGCAGATGCATTGAACATTACATATTCCCTTATCCTCTCAATTTATGCCTCCCTCCCTCCCTCTCTCTCTCTCTCTCTCTCTCTCTCTCTCCTTTTAATCATTTTCTAACAGAACCCACTCCTATCCCACTCCTGCCTGCCACGTTAGAATTCTGCCATTCCCATCGTGATTATTCCTTTTTGCCACTATACTGCCCGTGTGGTGGTCTAGTGCCTTATAGCCTTTACTCCTACATGCTTATTTAATCATTTGTTTTAATATTTTTATCAAGAATTCTTAGATTGTAATTCTCCTTAGATTGTAATACTTAATTTATATTCAATGTAGAAGTTTTAATGAAGTTCCATGTTTGTAGTAGAGAACAATTTGAAATAATATTTTTTTATGTTGAATTGTCAAATCAAATTGCTTGTAAAGAAATCTTTCAAATATGATTTTTTATTTTTTATTTGCAAATGATGTGTTTTTTTTTTTACTTATGACCTCGTTTTGTCTTGTTGCCCATGAATGAATAAGAGTTTTTCTTCTTTTTTGGCACAACATCCTACATCCAGCAGTATTACTGAGTGCTGTTATATATTTAGATATTAAACATTGTCCTGTGGTTCCAATTTTGCTTGTGTTCAGTGGATATGATGAAAGATGGCACTACTGTAATTCTGCGTAATGCCAAAATTGACATGTTCAAAGGATCAATGAGGCTTGCTGTGGACAAGTGGGGCCGTATTGAAGTCACAGAACCTGCTAGTTTCACTGTTAAGGAAGATAATAACCTGTCCTTGATTGAGTACGAATTGGTGAATGTTGTTGTGGAATGACTTGTTGGGACATTCTGGAATTCGTGCTGTGTTCTAATGAGAATAAAAACATATCCAGCAAAGTAATCTACTTTAGTCTATGGGAACATCTGATCATGCTCATCGCAATTCACATTACTTTAGGAAATAGTGATTTGAGAAGCCAGTAGTGCCGACGCTTCTTACTGTTGCAGCAGATTCGGTGGATCTTGGAGCTTCAACCACTGAACAAGTGGAAGAAGAAAAAGGGAATTGGCTTCCAGATCATGTTTTTTTTTAAAAAAAAAAAAACAAAAACAAAAACTGATCATGCTTTTTGTTATGCTATCTAGTTATATTTGGATTATGTGTACTTTCATCTACCATGGATTATATGTATCAGAATATTATATATGGAAGGTGAGTGTTTATACTTTATGTAATCCTTTGTTTAGTCCCAATCTTTATCATGATCTACTGCCTCTTAATCTTTGAACCAAAAAGTATATATCAAACCAAAAAGATCAATCTTTGTTTTACATGAAATAATAAAGTGAAATATGATTAAAATCTGTGGGACGTTTATATAAACTGCACGACTCTGCAGATGATTGTGGTCCGAACCTAAAACATCAACTGATCGAAAGTACTAGCGTGTAATGATTATTTTGGTTTGAAAGGTGTATGCTTTCATTAGCAATGCAAATTGTGCAGTAGTCTGTTGCTGTTGTCCCCAACTTAAAAATCATCATGAGACACATTCTTCAATACTTTGACAAGAAAAACGTGAGGCCCACACCCCAAAGGGTTTGTCTTTGGGCTTGTGGCCTAAGCAAACCATGCCCTACTTCCCTACTTTATACATTGTCCCCAGGTAAACCCAGTAATCAATTGCAAGAACACCCATTTACTTACACTGAAGATGCAAGTATGAGACGCAATGGGTATAAAAAAATAAATAATTGCAACACTCAAAAGCAAATGTTTTTATGGGTTTATCGTAGCACAGGAGAAAAGTTATCTTCGTCAATTCCAAAATTATATCATTTCAAGAGTAGGGGGAATTGATGAAATGCATTTTGATAAAATTCATATAACAAAGAAACAAACAAAGTTCTTGAAATATCCTTTATTAATTCTCTCAATCCCCAAAACGATGTAATTTTAGCTACAACATAATTTTGGTGTTGTTAGAGATAATTCCTGTTGTAGGAGAAAGTGATAAACACTTTTCTTGATTTTTATATACAATATTCTATTCTTCTTTGATTTTGCTTCGAAATGATTCTGAATGCAGCTTACTAGCGTGTTACAGAACACGTGTAAGTTATAATTAATAAATACTTGTCTGAACAATTGTTTAGTAAATTAACACTAAATCAGTATTAGTTCAGTGGAGAAGATTAAAAAATACGAATGTATTATGTGCGAGACAGAAAGAAAGAATGTGAAACCGGCAGCTGAAGCAGGTGGATAACGCATGCAATTAGCCTGTCATTAATGCAATATTTATCCCCGTCTCGGGGATAGAGACATAGAGTTTAAGGTTTTTCATACATATATACGTTTCTGGACAAAAACAAAATCCCAAGTAGAAGAAATCGTGGCTTATTCACCTTCACTACATATACCTTCTACCAGTAAGAGGCTTAGTTGTACATAGCAAAGGATCACAAACAAGTGGGGGTGTGCTATAATAGTATTAGTAGGACCTATTCATATATACCACCATCCTTGTCCTTGTATCAGTGGGACTCAAGCTCTATACGTTATCATACCCTTTAAACTAGAGAAAGGACCACCCCACATGGCTCATATATAAGATAATGAAAAAAGATAAAGAAAAAGAAAAAATAGTTGACGAAGAAGAGGAATGGATGGAAACAAAAGGAGAAAGAGTGGATTTCATAGGCTATAAAGTATGCCGAATGATCAACATCATATGATAGTTAAATATCAAATCGATAATGTTGGTAAAAAGTTGGAAGGTGGCGCCTCATAACTACCACCTTAAAATATGTAGTTTATATAGTTCATTGGGGACAAATGAACGCAGACAATAGGATGCAGATAAATCAAATAGGCCTAACTATATATATGCTCATGATCAATTAGGGTGGGAGGCAGAACTCGGTTAGGATAGATAAACAATGCAAAAGCTTTACCAAACATAGTACAGCATTTAAAGCATTCTAACAAGTTTGAAGTCTATAGTTGTTTGACTTTTGATTATTAGTTTAATTTTAAGTGATTAATTAGAATTACTAAAGTACCGGCTTGGTATTAAAAAAAAAAAGAGTACCGGTTTGCTTTTCCTTGTATGTATGTACATATTAACCAAAAGGCCATTTAAATCAAAAGAAATGGTGCCGTTTTATTTAAACAATTAAACTTTTTCTTGGTGATACATAGCAATATATGATGTAAGTTGTAGTTATATATATATGAGTCAGGATCATTTTACACTAGTGTAAGTTACACTCTCAATTTTGTACATTAATCTCACTTTTATATATATATATATATATATATATATATATATAGAGAGAGAGAGAGAGAGAGAGAGAAGAGATCTTTTGATTTCGGTGTAAGACTAACTCTTACTCTTCATTTTAACAATTAATTATATATATATATATATATATATCCCTGTTAGTTAATCTATATATTTGGTGGTAATTTGGATAAAGTTTTATATTAATATAAATTAAAATTTATATATGATTTGGACCTATCCCATACTAGATATAATGCCCAACCCATAAATGGTTTGGGAGGGCTCAACAATCAAAACTTGAAGGTTAAGGAAATATGTCTATCTCATATTGATGTCATCTCGCAACTGTACAACTATGGTATCAGCAACTTAGAACTTTACAACCACCAATAGCTAAGGGTTTCTTCTATACCTAGAAGCCAGGGCAAGCAAATAGGCATCTCGTCCGCTTCTACCCACCAATAAAATTAAATATTGTCATACTATATATTAAGGTAGCATAAACAAGATAACCAATTACTATATAACGTATGATTGAAGTACATGTATGATCATCTAATCCATTTTTACTAAAGTTCATTCATCACACACTCACTTAACCATGAGAGTACTTTGCATGTACATCTACATTCATCTCATCTAAACAAGACAACCCAGCACTAGACTCTCCATCTTGTAGAAGAACTCCACAAAGATATCTCTCAACAATATTTATTCCAAAAAAGACCCAAATTATTATTCGTTCAGATTCAGCCATGTGTGATCTATCTGAATTTCTATTGCATCGATCAATATATGCCAAAATAAAAACACAACAATTATGACTTAAATTGTAGGTTTTTTACTGGCGGTTCAGTATGTATTTGTATTACAATTTAAACCACATAATCATACGAATGATACGATTTACAAGCACAAGCAGTTGGTATATAATTATTGATTGTGCTAGATATTGTCATTTTTTATGGATGTTTCGGTAAAATCTCAGCGTAAATAGAAGGAAATAAATCAACTAACGAGAAAATATGTGATGAAACTTTCTCTTCCTCCTTTTCTTATCACATTCCACCAGAATCCAAATAATCAAATGGCATCTTCCACTACATATTATTTAGCTGGTTTAGTTTTTAATAGTTTATCTATGGGAAAAATGTTTATCCTTTTAAATGACATAATTTATATCATTTTACTCTTACAAAGAGATGAGACTTACACCTTTATTTTTTTTGTCAACTCTCTCTCCTCCTTTATCTATTTATTTATCTCTCTTAAAATGATACAATTTTACATACTTTAAAATGACACGTTTTTTCCTTTATCTATTGTTAACAATGGTGGTGGTCAAAGTGACGATAGTTGATCCCTTAACCAGAGGTCTCGAGTTCGAGCCCTGAAAATGAAAAAAAAGGATTTGAGAGAGCCGCCCCCGAAAGGGTCACACAGTACTCGATTGAGGATTAGTCTTCGATTACGGCGTGAGAATACCCTTCAGATTACGGAAAGTGACGATGGTTGATTAGTGGGTTAGCTGTGAAAGTTATGAGATGGATAATCACATGTTAAAGTACTAAATTTAGAGTACATTTTGATAAGCTTTAAAAAAAATTATGACATCACTTTCTTTTAGAACATTTTTTATAAAAAAAATACTACTATCTTTAATTTTTAAAAGAAGTATTAAAACAACTTTTTTAGGGTTTTTATTTTTTCTCCAAAAAAATTATCTTATAATTATAAAAAATAATCTTTTTTTAATTAAAAAATATTTTTTTTAGTAAAGTACCTTCTCAACAAATTATGAGACCCATTTTAATTTTTAAAAAAATAAGTCGACTTGTGGTCCTTTTAAAATTTAAGAAAGACTCGTGTTAGTCTCTCAAAATGATTAACGTGGGTCTATTTTAAATTTTGAAGAAATCACGAATCAAATTTTTTTCTAAATGATCAAAATAGATCCGTAATTTTTGTTGATGATCAAAACGATTTTTTTTTCCCTGAAAAGCAGCTCAAACAAACTTTGTGTTTGGACCGTCATGCTGCTACTTTCCAGAAAAATCTTGTGAAAAGACTCTTCTCCATGACCCCTCTTCCCGTTTCTAGTCCTTTTTCTTGTCTGCTATACCATAATAATAAGGGCTTAGTGTATCAAGGAGATAACTCATTTTAATAAGCACAAAATGATATAATTTATATTGAGAAAAAAATATTTTTATAGTTTTAATTTATTTTAAGATTATATTAATCTTATTATTTTAATTTTTTAATTTTCTAACTCCAAAACAATATTATTTTGGGCTCAATAGAGATAAATTTATCTCCAATTATTGAAAAAACGTTTTTTTCCTAATAATAATAATAATAATAATAGTAATAACACAACTCATTTGTTAAACAAATAAATATCTTACTTTTTTTATTAAGTTGACTTAAAATTATTTATTAAAAGCATTTGCTAAATATTATAATTTTTTTTGTAAAGATTTGGCCAAATAATTTTTTTTATAGCCAATATCAATTTATTTTTTTAATAGGACAAGAAACATTTTATTTTTTAAAAAAAAATCAATATAATTTTAAATATTTTCAGCAAAAATAAACGCGTTTCTTGGGTGGCATGCGTGGTTGGCGTGGTACTATAGTATATATAGTTATATAATTGATTAAGGATTCGCTTTTTCTGCAATTAATGCAGAAAAGTTATCTGCAGTAAGTTCAATACAACGTTGTTTTGGGGCGGAAATCATGATGTTTTTGTAATTTTAATTTATTCCAGGGTTATAATAGTCTTTATATTTATAATATTTTAAGATTTCAATATCAAAACGACGTCATTTTAGAAATAAATGCAGATAACTTATTTGCATTAACTGCAGAAACATTTTTCCCATATTAATTAGTTATGCAGATACATAAATGATTTCATTTCATTATTACGCAGGGATTTCTACTTTTTT